TCTAATAACCACCAGCCGCTAGTCGTACCAGTTTATAGAGTTTGCTAAATTGAATTATCAATCCAGAGACTTTAACCACTCTGTGTGTCATTTGCAAAGAAAGTGTTTCAGGCTTAACTTTTTTCTGCCTCTGCCCAATTCTTGCATAGCTCATTTGGCTCTGCCACTCTGTTTATATTTCTTATGGGAGTTAACCTAAAAAAACCGCCAACTTTAGGTAGTGCCTTTCTTTTAAGGGCGATAAAGTCGCTTCACCTTCCTTTATCTCGTACTGACCACATTATAACCTAGCCTTGAGACTTGATTGTCTTAAATTGAAATATGCTCTTAAACGAAGCATAGAAGTGGTTAGTATTTTTTTCATAGAAAGATTCCTTCCACCCTCGCAGACCTGTAGATTTTCTCCTAGCCGTTTGTTAATCACTTTTGGAGCAAGCGGTCATATCATTATTATTTCTTGTTATCATAAGGAAGCTTATAGGATCGTACCCGTGCGACGGGTATTGTCATCATTCCAAAATTTGTCAGCCCCTCGGAAACGGAGAATTTGGATCTTAAGCGGCTTAATCTTCGTGGCAAGTTATATCTAAGTTCAAAGCGAAAAAGCCAACTTACCAAATATTTTTTGGAGCCGAACCCACTTTATACTCTTTCAAAGAACAGGGTGAGCTTATCATACCCGCATTAATATGGTACAGTATATCATCCTTTGGCAGAAGAAGCGGAGAGAATACACGCAGCATTTTTCATGCAGGGCGCCGACAGTTATAGAAACCCACTAGTATATATTTGCCGAGTTAAAGAATTGACCGATGTATATGACATCAACCGGAACTCAATCCAGCTAACTTGTGAGAAGCTAAAGCTCTTCTGTCGTTCCTGTACGACAGTCGGCACTGCGGTTTCGTGAAATTTTTATTAAGCTCACATTAATCCGAATACTTAGAAAGCAAGATCCGCTAACGTGTTCAGCGACAAGATGAAGAGATGAAACAATATATACTGTCGCCGCAAAATCCCATTCAGCACGCGGAGTTGACAACCGATCTCGAGTAGAACCAAATTTAATAAAACTCCTGGTGATATACAGCTCTGCGTAAAGCGAAAAAGTGGAGCGGTCTCGAGGACTTGTTAGGCATGGCAGAATATCTTCAAAATATACATACACCAGAAAAAAAATTCTTACCACCTACAGAGTCTGAATGCCTACAAGATATAATCTGAGCATTACTAGAACCCTCACAGTGCTGAAAGGCATAGAGATAGCCGTAAGTTCGTTCACACAGCAACAGGAAGAAAAGTGCGCTGTCTTCACTCCTCTACTTTGACCTCCAAATCTAGGTGGCAAGCTTTTGTTTAGCTCGTGTAGCGTATTTCGGATTTAGTGTCAGTGTTGTGGATTTTATCCACCCCAGAGTTGTAACTGGAAAATCGTACACAAAACCTCCGTCGATAGCAGAAATAACCCATCCGTGTTGTTTGCTACCAAACAACGTTTCAGACAAGATGATTTCTCATTCGAATGTTGATAAAATGAAGTATCTCCTGGCAAACTAGCTAGCTGGGCAATAGCTTCGTCAAATACTGCAGCCGTTGGAACCATGTGCTGTACAAAGCACACAATGGAATTGACATGGTTGAGCGAATCAAAAAATAGCGGCTACGCTGGCTTAGGTTACGTCGTCTGCATGGATGAGAGCACTACAGCTTTGAAAGTATTTCATGTCAGGGAAAAAGCTATATGTGCTGGGTATCTTAACTTCATGCGAAATGATGACTGAGACTATTGTTTACTTGGATATAATCGTTTAGAAGAACGGTGGGCCTTCGGTTAGATCAAAGGTTAATTCACCACGTTAGACACAGGTAGACTTTGCGCACAGCTGCAAATAATCCGTCAATCCTTGAAGGCCCTTGGGAATATCGAGTGCAGCTTTCTCACTCAAAGTTTTCGACGTTTTAACTTTTAGTAATCATACTCCATTACCGCTTTCGGCTTCTGTCAGACTTTCTATTCGCTCTCAACTACATAATCGTCCCCAAAAGAAAGCGGACATTCCCAAAAGTTGACACTATCCCTACATAATTGGCGCTCTGTATACGCTTCATTGATTTTTGGCCAAGCTCCTACCCCAATTTGTGTTGTGTGCCTTAATGTTTATTACAAATAAATGAAGGTAACTTCAATTTAAACGAAGCCGGCTTCAAAGAGATGACGAGCTCTTTTTATTTCACATCATAAATACACTCGGCGGGCTGACTGGACATTCCCTGGAAAAAAATAGTTTTCTATAATTTTCGGATCAGGCCTCGAAACCTGACCCTTCGAACAGTAGTACGCACTGCCAACTACTCAGCTTTTGCATCCGCTATCCCTTACACTCTGTAAAGCCAAAGTGACGCAACAAATTATGACATTTTTCACTAAAACTTTTCGCTCCCACATTTCTTTCGCCTGCATTGCTTTTGCCATTTATTTTCGCATTATACAGTTATGTACTAACAACTCATCGCTCTGAAACTCATTTAAAGCATATTTGCAGATAATTATATGTCCAGTTTGCAATTAACACAGCAGCAGTAGTCGACAGAGAGCAGAGAGCAGACCAGAAGTGAGGAAGGGTGAGAAAGTGAGCAGGAGAGCGACAACACCGTTAACTGCCAAATTATAATAATTAAACTTGGATGATGAGTTTCTGTACTATTTGTTTTCTTGTTTTTTTTATTTATTTTTTTTTTTTTTTGTGAGAAAAATTTTGTCGTCGCTTTATCCTTTCCGACTTCTCTGCCAAATAATGTTTTTATTTTTTAAATACTCCTTTCACTTGTTTAGCATTTGTGTTGTTTGTCGCTTGTTTCTGTTGCTTATTTGGCTCTAACTACGGCACTTGTTTGCCGAATATGAATTATTTAAAAATACACGCCAACGTCCATATTCATGTACGTATGTATGTATGTTGTGCGCAGCTAACAAATGGCGAAAATGTTCATTTTTATTTTAGTAGTTTTCCAACTTTTAATTCTGACATTTCCCACTTGAAGTGTCTTGTGCAAATTTTCCAATTATTTAGTTATTCTTCTAACGTTTTTGCCCTCCCTCTCTCCTTTACTCTCCCTCTCTCTCTCTAACTCACATATTAGGAATTATATTGAATTTTAGTGCAAATATAATGAAAAATAATGAAAAATAATTGGACACGTTTTTCGTTCTTGAAGTGTTTGCTCAAAACTAAAAAGAAAACTCATTAAAATAAAGCTTCGAAAATAATTGCATTTGGCCTTGGTGGGGGTATAATAGAGTGTCTTTTGGCCTTGCGGGATTTTCAAAGCATTAGAGCTTCATGTGATATTAAATTGAAGATACAGTCATTAGTTGTTTGTAGTACTTATTTCTGACTTTAAAGGCTTTCACTTAAAGGGAAACTAATTAACATCATATTTACAGAGCAATCGCTCAAGTGAGAGTACTTACATCCTGAGTACCGACCATCCTTGAGCTCTCTGCAAAGGTTGTTATAAAGTAACAACCACTTTTTATGGTCAGAGATTTGAGCTAGCTTCCTAAATGAGATTAGGTTTAAACCCAATGGGTGTGATCCTGCATAAAAAGCTCAGCTGAAGAAAACATATTGGGAGTAAGACCTGCAAAACGATGCGAATTTGAAAAAACCACTCTAATTGGTATAGCAGAAGCAATGAATACTGCAAAAAACCTAGAAATCATACTTGATCCCAAGTAGCCAATGAAGCAAAGCCAACAGCTAGCCACCTAAAAGTTAATTGGGTCCGGTCCAGCAAGAGTGAGAGGCACGGCATCAAACATACAATGTGCCCGAGAGGAAGAAACTTTATGTTGGGTAGAGATTGTGGAGAACTCTTAAGGTATATGCATACGGTTTTCTGTAAAATATGGTCGGATGAAAGCATGTCTAATGATGGATACCTAAGCATGTACAGTTGCTGGTGTACGGAACCTTAATTGACCTTAGAGACAGTGTTGTGAGTTCTGGTATTTGTAAAGTGGATGAGGAGTTTAAGCATTTCGTTCGCTAACGGCGAGACGACAAAATATTTCTTTTCATAAAACAAACAGTCCTCGCATTCTCGACTCAGCTTCCACGTCACTGTTGACAGTCATCACTTTGAAGTCATAGATAATATTTATCTTGTAGAATCACTCTTGCCAACAGGTCGAACTTTGTACTGAGCAGGCAATTGAAAAGTAAATTCCTCTCTCGACTCTGCAAGTCTACATCTGAAGAGTTGTCATGGAGAGTTTTCGAGCCAAATGTTTTGCGTAAGAATTATGCTGCTCTGTACCCTGGCAATGGCGAATAACGCAGATTATGAAACGATAATATGTTCGAACTAAGAGACAGTGACTATGCTGACTAGATCATGCAGCCCAGATGAATAAGAATACTCAGGCTTTGAATATTTTCGATTCAGTACCAGCGACTGGAAGAAGGTAGATGTTAGAAATTTACTCGTACTCGGAAGGGTGGATATAACTTGAAGATGGGAATATACCAAACATCAATTGGACCCAGGCCACACGGATATAGGTATAGGTAATGCAAAAGCAGGAGAACTGGGTTTCGCTGTCATCACCAACTGTATCATACCTAAGCTGAGATTGAGCGGTGCGACTGCTATTATCCCAGTAGTGCAATTTGTAGAGACCCAGTCTGGAAGATGTAAATTTTTTTCTGAGCTCAAGACATTTTTCGGTGTACCGATTTGGATTGTGCACTTTACATTTGGTTTCATTACGCCATATTTCAATGGCTTTTTGTCGAAGTATCTTGCGCAGTCTTCGTATTAGTTAAGATAGTTATTTGTCTTAGGAGTCCATGAGCCGCATGATTGTACTCTATATGTCTAAGTCGGGGCGCCCAATTTAGGATAGAGCTTAGTTTTCTCTAGAATATATTGCGAGTGCCCATCCACTTTTTCTTAGCCGTTTCTAATGAATGTACCTCTTCTCTCTCTACTTTCAGAAAGCTGCCAAGGACCACACGAAAAACGTCTACTTAACCACCTATTATCCACCTATAACACACTCGAACGACCCGTGGCGAACGAATCGGAGCCGTTGGAAGTGAAATTTGGCTTAACGCTGCAACAAATAATTGATGTGGTGAGTATTTGAAAATCCAAGTTAAAATTTAAAAAAAAAAACACAAAAAACAACAGCACATTTGTTTTGGTTACAAAAACAACACTATTTGTAGTGAACTAAAAAAAACACACACACAAAGTCACTCTTCACTCAACACACGCGAAACATGAAATAATTTAAAAAAAAAAAAGAGAAACAACGTGTAAAAAAATAGCCGTTTAATACGAAGGCGAAATAAGTTTCAAGTTTCTTTTTTTATTGTAAAGAAATAAAAATATTTTGATTTTAACAACATTCAAAGCAAAAAGTTCGAGATACTATTAATGCGTATAAAATTTTTTATAGGACGAAAAGAATCAGATTCTGACCACAAATGCGTGGTTAAATTTGGTAAGTGACATGTACCCGTACAAAAACAAAAAAAAAAGATATTGTATTCTAATTTATTTTGTTATTTATTATGGTAAGAAATAGGAGAACAAAAATCACAATTGCTTAGCGCAAACGAAAAATGAAAAGCGATTTCAATGGTTTTCACGCAGCTATTTTTTTATAAATATTTCATTAAATTTTAATAAGACGTTTGTTTTTCATTCACCAATATTACGTTTTTAGTTCGGAAAACAAACACACTCAATATATTCATTTTTATATAGAAGAATGATTTTGATTTAACAAACGCAGAATAAACACAAATAAAATTGAAGAAATTATTTAAGCTATGTAACGAATGTGTTTTGTTTGCTAGAAATATTCATAATAATAAATAACTTGTGCCAATAAAAAAGAGTTAAAAGAAAAGAAAAATACGTTAAAGCAAAAATCAAATAACACAGTAATAATTTTATATATTCAGTCCCCGTGAAATTTGTTTTCAATTATATTTACTTAATAAAAAAATATAATATTATGGATTCTTACTTGATTTTATACAAATTAAATTATTTTTTTATTTTATTTTATTTCTTAACTTACTTTATTTTCTTTTAAGCTTATTTACTTGATTTATTTTCGTTTTTTATTTTATTTTGTTTTCTTTTCTCTTTTATTTTTTATTTATTTCTATTATTCCCTTTTGTCTTCTTTATATTCTCTTTTATTTTATTTTTATTTCATTTTATTCTAAGTTTTTTTTTTATATTACATTATTATATTTAACGTTTCTTATTTTTTTATTTTATTTCATTAATTTTTACTTTATTTTTTTTACTTTACTTCCCTCTATATTATTGTATATTATTGTGGGGTATTTTATTTTGTTTGATTTCATTTTATTCTCTTTTATTTAAAATAATTTAAATATATTTACCCAATTTTATTTTATTTTTATATGTTTTATTTATTTTATTTTATTTTATTTTATTTTATTTTATTTTATTTTATTTTATTTTATTTTATTTTATTTTATTTTATTTTATTTTATTTTATTGTATTTTATTCAATTTTATTTTATTGTATTTTATTTTATTTTATTTTATTTAATTTTATTTTATTTTATTTTATTTTATTTTATTTTATTTTATTTTGTGTTGTTTTATTTTATTTTAGTTAATGTCTTAGCTTTTTTATTTTAATTTATTTTTTTTTTTTTTTTTTTATTATTATAATATTTACCTTAGCAACTGGTTGCGCTCTTCATTTTCAATATAAATTATAACTGTTAAGTGTTTGCTGTTTTATTCATTGACATCAAAACATATGCCTTAAAATACCTCATTTAATTCAATTTTCCAAATCGACAATTCAACAATTTAATATCCATGCCAACAACCCATTAACCTTTTCGACCATTTGCCTCGCTGACCGTTACAAGTTAATTGACGTCAATTTGAACCAACTCAGCATAAATACGCATAAATCAAAATTAGTAAAACAAAAACAATACCAACCAATGAAGCCATGTAGCCATGAATGAGTACACCACAATGTAAATGTTCAATATTACTTGTTCTGATAAAATTTAATACAAAAAAACTGTTCTTATTCCAGTTTTTGAATTTCAATTTTCAACTACAAAACTTCTATATATTTATTACATGAACTTAACAAATGGGTTGATAAATTCTCAAATACTCCTAATATTAAAGAGTTATGCTTAATTACCTCTGTTAAATAACATTTCCCGTAATGTTCTGTTGTCTTGGTGTTGTCTAACGGCTGTCAAATGAATTGCGCTGTTCATCTCACTCTAATCAGCACATATTCCGCAGCTGGAAATAAAAAGAAAATAGTTTCATTAAATATAATGAAATGCAATAAAATAAAATTAAATAAATCTATTTAAATTTAGTGCTATTCAGTTCGATATAATTATTATTAATTTTTAAATAAAAAAAATGTTTTAAAATGAAATAAAATAAAATAATGTTAAAGTAAACCTAATGAAAATAATTTAAAAAAGAATTAAAATAATATTATTTTTAATAAGTTAATGAAATTAAACTAAATTAATTTAAATTAAATAAAATATAATTTTTTTAAATTAAAATAGTGGGGAAAAAAATTAAAAACATCAAAAATCAGTATAAAATTAGTATAAATTTTTGCATATTCAATATCATAAAAACCAATCAATCCGTCATTTTCATCGCCGACTGCAACCAATTAATTTGAATTGAAATATGAAAACCATGATGATCACATATACGTACATAGCTGAATCACAAACAACAGACAGATTATTGTACTTTTGTTATGCACCATGTGTGAGCCGACGCCGTGGAAAAGAAAACAAAGCAACTGTGTAACAAATAAACTTGGCAGTAAATAATGGCGTTTATGCTTAGAGAAGCAGCAACAAAAATTTTGCCAAAATAAATGCTCATATGTGTATAAGAGCGCACACACTCCTAGAGACTTTCGCTTGACTGCAGGATTACGTTATTATATGTACAATAGATGAAAAATGTGTTTTGCGGTTGATTTGTTTCGTATTGTTTATTGTTATTCATCTATCGGCACTAAATTGAAAGGCCATAAATTTGCAAAGGAAACTTGCGACCACGCACAAAAAGGCTAAAAACAACAGCAACAAAAACGCACTTTTTCATCATAAACAAAATTTACGACGAATTGTATGAAAATACATATATACGCATAATAACTGTTACAAAGTATTGAGTAGCGAAAACATTCAGACCATGAAAAATGCCTTGTAAAATCGAACAAAACTGAAATGAAGTAAAATATTCTAACGAAAAATGCCAAAAATATAAATGAGAGGCGAGCAGATACATACTTTTGAACATTTAATAGTCGAACACAAGCAAAACAAAAGAATCCTTGAAGCGGGCTTAACTTTTGAGTGGTTGTCAAAAATTGGGAATACGTTGTAAGAGAAAAAGGCTAATTGAAACCGGACAAGCGGAAGTGGCATGGATGCCATAAATGAATTAAAAGGAGGAGGATTGTAGCAGTCGCGTTGTGAAATAATAATGGTTACATACAAAAGAAATATAAATAAAATGAACAAATTAATAAAAAAATATTCATAATAAATATTTTATTAAAATAAATATTTTGGAAGTAAAATAAAATTAAAAACTAAAATAAATTCAGTTAAGAAAATAAAAAATTAATTAAAATAAAAAGACAAGTTAAAACCAAACTAAAGGTGATTATAGAAAAACAAGTAAAAAAATTATATAAGAATAAAAAAATAAATTAAAATAAAATTAGATAAAAAAATATGCTGATAAATTTATTATAAAATAAAATAAAAAGAAACAAAAGATATAATGAAATAAATGCTATTTAAAAGAAATAAAACTAAATTAAATAAAAATAAATTACACCAAAACTTTAACATAAAATAAAATTAACAAATAAATTTTATTTAAGCAAATGAAAATAAAAAAATAAGCAAAAATGGAATAAGCTATAAAATAAAAAAGCATAACTGACATTTCATAAAATTATATAAATTAAACAAATTGAAAAAATAATGTAAATTTAGCATAAAAAATATATACCAAAAACTTAAATAAACTTTAAAAAAAATCGAGTAAAATAAAATAAAATAAAATAAATAAATGAAAAAAAAAAAAAACTAATCTTTAATTAAATTAAGAAAAAGTGAAATTTGAATTAAATTGAATGAATTGACCAGTTAGACAAAATAACTAAAATTAAATAATAAAGTAAATATAAATAAAATAAATTAAAATAAAATGACACAAAATAAAATAAAATTAAATTAAATAAAAAAACCAAATAAAATAAAAAATAAAGTAAAATGAGACTAAATAAATTGATATAAAACTAAATAAACTGAGCTAGAATAAAATAAAATAAAGTAAATTAATATAAATTAATTAAAATAAAGTAAAATAAAATAAAATAAACAAAAAAAAAAATAAAAAAATAACTTAAAATAAAATAAAAAGAAATATAAGAAAATAAAAAAATTCAAAAATATAAATTAAAAGAATTTACTTAAAAGATATTTAAATGAAGTTAAATAAAATATATATATTATTATATTAATAATAAATCAAAATCAAATAAAATATGATTAAATAAAATAATATAAAATAATTTTAAATAAAATAAAATGTAATGAAAAAAGTGAAATAAAATATACAAAATAAAATTAAATAAGACAAAGAAAAATAAAATGAAATATAATAAAATAAAGTAAATCAAATTGTATTGAAAAAATGTAATAATATTAAATAAAACAAGATCAGATAAAATAAAATTAAATAAAATCAAATAAAATAAAATAAAATAATTAAAAAGATTAAAATAAAAAAAGATAAAAAGAATATATATAAAAGAGTTAATACAAAGGAAAGCAAAATAAAATAAAATAAAATAAAATAAAATAAAATAAAATAAAATAAAATAAAATAAAATAAAATAAAATAAAATAAAACAAAATAAAATAAAATAAAATACAATAAAATAAAATAATCAACTAACAAAAGTGAAAAACAAACAAATATAATATAAAATAAAGTAATTTAAATACAGTAAAAAAAATTTAAAAAAAAATAAATTACATAAAATAAAATATAATTAAAAATATTAAAATAAAACTATACGAAATAAAATAAAAATTTAAAAAAAAGAAAGACAGATTAAATTGATATAAAATTATATGAAATTAAAATAAATTAAACATAATTTTACTCTAAATTAAATAAATTGTTTTACCATAAATATCTAAAATTAAAGTAGCTAAATAGATAAATGTCCAACCCCCACAAATCTCATCATCATCATCATTACTTTCATTTATTTAATATTTCATTTCAACACACCAGTTAGATTTAATTTCGGTTTTGTGGTATTGATTGTGATTTCTTTACTTTTCGTTATTTCTATTTTCAAATCAACATTTTTCATTTACCTTTAACCGCAATATAATTTGCACACATTAAATATAA